AATGATGTTTTTGGGTAATTGTTATCTTTCCAAAAGCATAACCAACTCATTATAAATCTCCGAATTCAATGTCTTTCATAAGTTTTCTAGTTTTTTTAAATACTAGGCAACGATTCTACAAACTCTCTTAATTCTTTTCCCTTCAAGAATGTAGAAAGATCCCTAAAAATATGAAAGAATTATCCCCTTTTTTCCCCTTACAAAGTAGAAACATCTATAAACAACTCTTTTCTCAAATGGAGTTGTTCCCTCAAAAGAAAAAAGAAAAAGAAAAAAATGGTAGGGCATATGTGAAGCTAATGCTTAATCTATTAGAGGGAACCTTGCTATTTTCCTTCTCCAAATGCCTCATGACACTAGGATTTTCTTGAGTCAGGCGTAAATCATAGTATTCGAGTATAACCATCGAAACAACAATCCGAGCTAAGCCATAGACTAAGATATAGGCTGCATCCTTGCTAGACACATTAGGATATTTTCCACACATAAAGTGCCAAACTTGATCTTTCACCTCTTAAGCATATAGAATCCAACTCCACTTAGCCCCATTATTTTCCTCTCCTTACTTATTTCCTTCTAGATAGATGAGCAAGGTATAGAAAAAGAACTTAGTTTAGGAAATTCCCTCAAAATGGTGAGAGAAACATCTTTGTATGACTCTAGTCCCTCTATTGTAAAAAATTTATTAGAAGGTCTAAGACTAGCTTCACTAACCAAGATAAGCACCCTATCTACAAGAGGCTTCGAACTCCACCTCAAATCTCCCTAGCTCAACTTCCTCCTCAAGTACTCCTCCAACTACAAGAAAAGGAAAATGAAGTTAGCATACTTGTAAAACTAAAAAAAATGTAAGGAATAAAGAACAAGTCCGGCCTATCTACCTTTCGGGCTTCAAGTCAAAGAAGACCATTTAGTTCAAAGATTAATTTGATATCTACCACATCTACTCCTTATTCATTTCCAAAAGTCTTGATTAGTAAGAGATTGTAAAGGAATAATGTTAAAGTCACCATGAGGCGTTCTTTAAAAAAAAGCACATCCCTATATTCCTAAGCTCCGTCCCAAGGAACATGCCCCCTATACCTTACCACGAGCCACTCCTCCTTCCAATCTCCTAAAGCTTTGATTTTGCCAATAAGCACTCCTTTTACTAAGCTCAACTCTCTAGTAAAACAAGTATAAAGTCGTGCTAAGCTTGCTCCTTTTTCGAGCTTCCAATCGAAAGATAATAATATCTAAAAAGCCTAATGGTGGGAAAGACATTATACTGCCTCTATAAGTTCTCAAAAGCAACCATAATTGTTCACCTATTTGGATGAAGTCGACTCAAGCATAAACTATAGTGTTGAAATACCTCTATCGCAAAACTAGATAGAGGGTAACTATAATTGTAAGTAGACATGCATATGGGAACTGTTATTTCCAATTCCCTCTTCTAACTTCAACTAACTATTGACTCATCTTATCATCTCGATTGAGAATGATCCCAAGCTATTCTACCTCAAATTACTCGTTAAAGACAACTAACCTCTCCATAGATACCCTATTAAGCCATTCACCAATAAGAAGAGGCTTAGGCTCTCACTCAACCAACTAAGAAATTAATCTCTCCACAATTAAAATAATCTCTCCTATCAAAAGAGCTCTATTTAGGGTAGCTCTAAAACCACCCCTCATTCTATTCATGTCTACCATTTCTCTTATCAAAGAAAGAAATAGACAAAAAGTTTGAAAATTACTTATCAAAAATACACACGACCATAAAAAAGTTGAATACCACAGTAAAATGTTCCCTCCTTGGTAAAATTATTGATATAGCAATAGCTATTACTTCAAAAGGGTCAAAAGAATTCCTACACAAGGGTTATACAAAAAAGATCACCTAGAGTCTCTAATTGATGCTTATAGATTTTTCAAAATTCTCTTACACTAGAAAACAAAAGGTAGGATGAAAAAAAGAATGAACAAGCAAAGTGAAGAATAGAAGAACTCTTCAACTACATATAGGCTTAAAAGCACGAGTTTCCATGTCAAAAACCATCTAAAAGCCAAAATTAGTTGGAAAATGGACCAACTACAATTGATAATAAGTTTCACATCATAGATAATGTAAGTAGAATTTAATAGGGTTTAGAGACTTCAAAAGACTTAGGCCTTTTGTCTTCTTCAAATTCCCCTTTACGCAAACATTTGATCTTTCCTAAACAAAACACGGATATCAAAACGATAGGCAATCCGACGGTGGAGGTAGTGTAGAAATTTGTCCTATTGTAAATACCACCATCTCCTCAACAAATATCTCATAGAAAAGTATAGAAAATTCTAAAAGCACTAGAAGAATCAGCAACCCAAACCATTTTTTATTCTTCTCGTATTCTTCCAAAAGATCCGACAACAAACAAAAGAGAGAGAGAAGGATTTCAGAATCATGGGTCTTAACACACCACTCTTCAACACTCTCCAAGCATATGATGGATGGAAACAATCATAAGGCAATTGGGTTTTCAGAATCATGGGTCTTAACACACCACTCTTCAACACTCTCCAAGCATATGATGGATGGAAACAATCATAAGGCAATTGGGTTTTCGGAATCTTGGGAAGGATATACGTCCTACCCCCTTTGTTATTTTGTCCTCCTCCTTCTAAAAAATTTAGCTATGTTTGACATCACTAGGTTTTTGGACACCATACTAGAAGCTAATTTAGGTTATCAAAATTGACGTTTACAACACTATTAGATTAAATAGGCAAACAAGACAAATCTTGATTATTGTTTGGTGTTCTTGGTGATAGGATCAATAAAAGCCTCTCTATAGTCATGAAATAAAGATAAAATAGCTCTCCAAGAACATAATATTTGGTCCTAATCTCTCTCAATCGAAACTAATATATATATATATAAAAATAATGAAACCAATAGGATCAACAAAGATATGACCTTAATTTAACCAAAATCCGAAACTAAAACATATCAATCTACAAAAAGAATCAACCTTTCTCTAAAAAAATATACAAAATGAAAAACAATCAAGATATCAATAGACACAAAAGGAAATCATCTACAATGGAATGAAAGGAAAATTACCTACGATGGGATTAGACCTTGACATCTTATATTCCTAGTAGTTTTTTGATGATGATGGGATGTAAGCAACGATAATGGAGAACTTCTTTTTGTTTCTCCAATAGAAATAGTAGAGATTGTTTTTCAGTTGGTTTGTATAGCTAAAGATATATTTTTATATGAGGGCTATATAGTTATATTTAAAAAGTTTTAAAAATCTTTCAACCGAGCATATTAATCAAAAAGTAATAAGTTAAAAATTTTAACTGATCCGATTAAGTAGATTTTAACTAAACTTAAAATTTTAATATGAGATTATTTAGGTTATCAAACAAACTTGTTATATTAAGTACTACGACTTAATTTTTTAAGCTACTTAATTAGGTTATCAAACACCCCTTAGATGAGCCTCTAATCATCCCGATTGCTATTAGCAGTTCTCAGGAAGCCCAACCACCAAAACAGTCTTTGTAAAGAGCATTTACCAAGACTTGGGAGGACTACTAATGTACTCGGGTGATAAGTGTCATCATATTACTCCCGAACTCTAAACAAGAACACACTCTTGATATAACTCATGAGTAAATTTTCCATCCATGGTCATCCTCACGAGTTGCCCTACATAGTACTAGCTCAACCAACCAACCTAGATATCCCACCAACTTAAGAGATAAAAGTACATTTATTTAATGAAGGCATGCTCTTCATATTACTTTTGTCTAATCAACATCAATCATGACATCATAAAGGCCATCAAAAAATGATACATAACCATAAAAAAATACATTTATCTCCCAAATTGATGTGAGAAGTTGTTGGCAATAGGAGAATGCACTATCCTATCCATCTCTTAATGCAAGTTGATCAAGTTCTTGGTTGTATAAATGACCAACATGCTATATATTAAGGGTTCAACTCTCTCAATCCTACTACTATTTATCATGTTTTATACATCTATACAACTACACCACAATCGAGCTTACTTTTCACTTTGTATACTAAATTAGTCATCAAAAGGTCCTCCAATCCATTGGAAAAAAATATACATTTTTTATAACTACTTCAAGCTATTGGAAACTAATCCATCATTGATTGCCTTTGTTCCTACAATTATATATATAACTCCTCCTCATCAATTACAATACTAGGATTTATAACCTTATCGGGATTAATTGCCAATTCCATAAAAATCCATAATCAAATGGCTGAATTTTTTTCATTGTAGATTCAAAATAATATTTTTGTAAAATAGACCTAAGATTAAGCTACAAGTAACAAGCTAAATTTTCTATGTCATGTTTTGGTAGCGTCATTTGTACACTAATTATGGAGTAAACTAATTACAAATATGAGTCCTTGTACACTAATTATGGATTAAACTAATTGTAAATTAGAGGGGTATGTATATTATCCATGACCAACTCGCAATTTCATTAATTTTATTTCTTTAATTTTATTTTAATTTTTCTAATTTAATTTTTTTATTTGAAAATCATAAATTTTGAATTTTAAATCAATTATATTTATTTCAAAAACATCCATCTTTTAATAACTAATGTATTAATATTTTTATCATCCTTAAAAAGATCATTTGCAAGATAATGCACTTGATTTTTTAAAAAAATTATATGTACAAAGCTCAAAAAAGTTAAAACGTAGTAAGAACTTAAACATGAATTTTCAATAAAGCGTATTATGTATAAAAATAATGGTTATAAAGAAAATATCAAGGAAAAAGTGTAAACAAGTGTAAATTGAGTTTGAAAAAAAATGCTCTCTATAGTATCCCAGTACGTCTCTCCCCACTAGAGTCCGAAAATCCTAAAAACCTTGAATGCGAGGGTACCATAAAAAAAGTTCATAATGAGAGAAAGATCCAAACCTAGAAAGGTGCAATAACACTCCGATACCTATAAAAATTTTGAATTTCAAGCGTGCGATGGATCGATGGTATAGATTCAAAAAGCTAAAAAAAGTATTGAATGGATGTCTATGGCGAGAGGTTGTAATGGAGAAAGGAGACATCACTATGATAAAGAGAGATCATGTACGATCTATTAAGTTGTTTGGAAGGTTCAAGGAGCAATTGCAAAAACCATGAGAGTTTTATGTGGTAGTGAAGGTCCTAAGACGGAGTGTAAGGTACAAAACTCTATGTGTTAGACTTCGAACAATAGGGAATATGGCTAAACATTTTTAGATAATTGATATGGATAATGAATTCTACCTAGTCCAATTTTCCTACAAAAAGGACTACTTTCATGCTTTGGTGAGATGGCCTTAGACTATCCTCGGTCATTGTCCGACTTTACAACTATGGGATCATTTCTTTAGAGCTTTATTAAACGGAATGAGAAGGGTAGTTGTATGGGTCAAGTTCCCTAATCTTCCTTTAGATTGGTATAATCTTAGTATTCTTACAACCATGGGAAACATGTTGGGGAAAACCATAAAAATAGATCGTACGATACAAACTAACTTGAGAGCTAAGTTTGTAAGAATTGTTATGGATATTGACATTGAAGCACTAGTGAAAAGCTCCATGCTGGAGTGATGAGATGGCACAAATGGTTACCTATGAGGGATTACCACAAGTTTGTTATACATGTGGGAGAGTGGTCCATAGTTGCTTGTACTCGCCCTTCAAAACTAGCTACCACAAACCACTATGATTAGTATTTTATTGAAGAAGACGTATTAAACTTGGGAGTTAATGTAGCTATTACTAACACTCAAATTTTTAAAGAAAAAAATCGACAATACCCCCTAGATATATGTTTCATCAAGAAACAAGAGAAGATCATAGATCGATGATGTGCCTCCAATTTTGAAAAAAAAATGGGAGCCTAAAGTGAGCCCAACAATGGGTCCCGTTTTATGGTTTTAACTTCCACAGAGTCAAATCCTCCCTTGGCCCAAATGGATCCAACTACAACCCATAACCAAATTTCAACCTACCCAAGCCAAGCTTAGTTTCAAGCCAAAAATCCTAGCTTTACCAAGGATAACACTTCACTTAAATCTAAAACCTAAAAGTTTGTTAAAGCCCTAGGCCTAAATAAACCCAATAGACAAACCACATCTACCTCTCTTGTGTCTAAACCCGGAACAATCCAAGATATTTTCACCTTTACTATAAAATTAAATCCCACTCAAAACATACCCATTATCACCGATGATAAAAACCACACAGACTATTTTAATTCTAGAGGAGAAGAAGGAGAGAGTTGAAATTGATGAGGATCTTACCATGAGTTCGTACATAAATGATAGGAAAGGGCAATTTGGGATTGAAATAGCTGAGCGAGGGGATCTTCCTCAAATGGAAATTAATGTCCCATCGGACATTCATTCAATGGTTGCAGTAAGAAGAAAGAAGAAAGAGTAATTCAAATCTGCAAATGAGGCTCTCAAATCTATAGTTTCAATTTGCAAGGCGAGTTTAAAAGAATACTATCTCTTCTTCCAATAGAAACTCTAAATTGAAGCAAATTATGATCATGAATCCAAAAAAGGAGGCCATGTTTTTAACTCGTGGGTATTGAGTTGGAGGGTGGGGCGATGCAAATAGCTCATTCACTATGGCTTGATCTATTTTCTAGTGTTCTATTTGACTAATTAATCAAATGAGTTTTTTACTTTGGAATTGCTAGGGTGTTAAGCATAAGTTGTTTAGAGCCTTTTTTTATAAGTTATCTAGATTACATCAACCAAATATGGTGGCTATTACTAATAATCGGTGGCGATAATGCTTTGGCGATCATAAAGAGCTTGGGCTTCTCTAAATCTCACTATATTGAAACGAATGGCTTTTCGGGTGGCATCTAGTTATTATGGAATGAAGGGGCTTTTTCTATACAGATTATGCACAAGCATAACAGTTTATGCATATGAAGGCTAATTGGAGAGATAGTGTTTTTCTTTTCACGGTGATGTATACAAATCTAAAGGGTCACATTCAAGTTAGATTGTGAAAGGAATTAAGAAAACTAACGGACCGCAGCAACATGCCTTGGGTAGTGAGAGGAAACTTCAATCATGTTTTGTATAAGATTGACAAAATAGGTTGTAGAGATTTCAATCGAGTATAATAGCAGAACGTTTGGGGCATATCTTTAAGATTGTGGACTAATTGATCTAGGGTACAAAGGTCCTCCCTATACATGGAAAAGAGTTTAGCTACAGGAACATCTTGATAAAGTGTTGTGCAATGGGGATTGATAACTCGCCTTCCTCAAATACAGAGGTCTATCACTTGCTTCACATCAAATCTAACCATAGGCCTATCTTATCGCATCTAGTTATTAGTAGTTAGTTACCCGAGCCTATCTTATCGCATCCGGTTATTAGTAGTCGGTTACCTGTGCCATAAAAGTCTTTTAGATTCCAAACTACTTGGATACTCAACCCGGACTCCTCATATTTTATAAAGCACAAATGTGATAGGTCTATTCCTTTCACCGATGCCATAGATAGGTTCATTACACAAGTAACAAGATGGAACTAGGAATCCTTTAGCAACATTTTTATTCGAAGTGGTGACTCAATGTGAGGTTAGTTGGAATTGAGAGAGAATTGACTAAGGGTCTTAAACTGTTCCTTTCTCAATTAGAAGAGCATTTAAGGAATGAATATGAAGCTATACTTCTAAAAGAAAAGATTTATTGTATTAGAAGTCCAAATGTGATGGTTTGCATATAAAAATCATACTACAAAATATTAGCTCGCATCTATTGTTATTAAGAAAAGGGTTTCAAGGATAGAAAGATTATAGGATGAGAATGGAAACTAGTGTACTAATTAGAAGAAGATGATGTCTTTGGTTCTTGACTACTATAAGAATCTTTTCATAGTAGAGATAGATAGCCTAATGGAACCTCTAGATAGGGGGTTTTTTCCTCACATGATAGAATATGTGGTCAATTCCTTATCGACCCTTATGAGTATAAGAGAATTTTGAGATGCACTTTTTGACATGAAGCCGTATAAGGCTCCTAGGTAGATGGACTACATGCCGCTTTCTTTCGATCCTAGTGGGATACTCGTCGATCGATCTTTGTTTTAGTTAATTTAAAAGATTTTCCTACATAAATTCCGGGACACCAACTTAACCAAAGCTTTTTTAGTGGTTCTATCAAAAGTTAAAGCACTAAAAGCAATGAATTGGTTCTGTCCTATTGGCTTATGCAATGTTTCTTATAAGGTACTCATAAAAGTGATTGTTAACCGAATGAAGAGTTTATTTCCTTCGGTTATTGCTCCCACCTAAGTCGACTTTGTACTCGATCGAAAGATTACAAATAATATAGTTATTACACAAGAGGTAATCCATTCAATGTGAAAGAAAAATGCCAAGAATAGATGGACGACTATCAAGATAGACTTTGAGAAAGCATATGATAGGCTGAAATGGGACTTTGCTCCGGATCTTTTACTAGATGTAGGTGTCTCCCATCATGCTCGTTCGAGTGATAATGAAGTAACTATCATCGGTATCTTTTTAGGTTGCATTCAATGGCAAAACTTCAAAATCTTTTATCCCATCTCGAGATATTCGATAAGGTTATCCTCTCATCCCTTATCTCGTTTGTTTTGTGCATAAAGAGATTGAGTCACCTAATCAATACATAAGTTCGGAATGGTAACTAGAAGCCTATTTTCCTAAGCCAAAATGGTCCTTTAATTTCTCATTTTTTTTATAGATGATCTTATACTCTACGTTGCGGTCGATTCAATGTAGCTAAGGGTAATTATAGAAGTGTTTTATAAATTCTATGGTGTTTCAAAGCGGAAAATTAATGTAGAAAAAATAAATCTTTTTTGCGAGTGTTAATATCCTAAAAGGCAAAGTCATAATGCTTGGCAAGAAATCAAGCTATCGGGTAACGGATGACTTACGACATTATCTAGGGATTTTGTTGCATCATAACAGAGTGAACAATGAGACCTATGATTTTATGATTGATAAGGTTGCTAGAAGATTATCCTATTAGCAAGCCAAGCATTCTCTTATAGGTAGGATAACACCGACTCAATTAGTTATGTCGACTATTCTATTATATCATATGTATTCCATCAAACTACCAACTTCTACAATGACTTCTATTGATAGATTATATCAAGATTTTGTGTGGGGAACCTCCGATTCAAAATGGAAAATCCATTTGGTTTCTTGGGAAAACATATGTAGACCTAAGCAATTAGGGGATTAGGCTTGAGAAAATTAAGTAGGGTTAATGATGCTTTGCTAATGAAGATAGGTTGGAGTATTGTATCATATAGGACTCGCTTGGTGGTACATATCTTGTGTAACAAATATAAATTCTCAAATACTCATCTTCCTAACTCAATTTAGAGAAATGGTGCGTCTAATCTTTGGCGGAGCATTAATCGATTATAGGATCATGTTTGTTAGGGTATTCTCTAGTCTATTGGAAAAGGAAATAAGGTGAAGTTTTGGGAGGATAAGTAGTCGTCGAGCTCGCATCCTTTATAGGAGCCGACTACTTCTCCAGCTTCGAATATCTATTTGCATGATACTATAAACCAATATGTCTCAAATGAGGGAGCATGAATGTGGAAAAATTTATGCATAAACTTCTATCATCCATTATTTTGAGAATTCCATGATCTATTCCACCCAAAATTAACAATGAGGAAGATATCCTGTGTTGGGCTTACATTAGCGATAGTCTTTTTTCCACCAACTCTACTTATTCAGCTATTTCACCCACAAGTCATTCGTAGTAATTTTAGATTTTAGAATCTAATTTGAAGATGGAGTGGCCCCCAAAAGAATCTATAGGTTTCTATGGTTGGCTACATAGGACTATTTACTCACCAATGCTCAAAGACAACGTCACTATTTGAGCACGGATAGCTACTTGCTCGGTATGTGTTTCTATTCCCGAAACTATTTTACATGTTCTTTAAGACTACCCATTTTGCTCATCAACTATGGGTGGAATGTGGGGCAAATTGAAAGTTTCAAAACTTCTTTAATTTAGGCTTAAGGAATTGGTTTGGGACCAACCTTAGCAATAACATGACTCTTCATATGCAAACAGGTGACATGGTGTACTTGGTTTGGGATATGCTACTAGTTCTTGTGGTCATGGAGAAAAAAGAAATTATTTGATGATAGGTATTTTTATGCCTAACGATCCGATAAACACTATCTTTCATTTTATTATGCATATTCTCAAAAGTGTGACAATAATTGATAACTTGGGTAGAAAAACTCAATTTCTATAGGAGAAATTGATTAATTGGCATTATCCAGTCGGGGGTTGGAAAAAAATAAACACTATGGGACGGTGCGATTAGATTTGAGGATCTCGATAGTTGGTGAGGTTCTTAGGGATTATAAAGGATATTGGTTGAATGGTTTCTCCTATAATATTGGCTCATGTTTCGTTTTATGTTTAGCATTATGGGGTATCCTTATTGGATTAGAGATGGCTTGGAATATGGGTTATCATCGTGTCCTTACCGAAACCGACTCTTTGTTGGCTATTCAATTAGTTCAATCATTGATAAGGAAGATGGGCACTTATAGTCCTCTAGTTTCGGTGATTTTGGCGATCCTAACAAGAAACTAGTAAATAAATCTTACTCATATTTATAAAAAAGCAAATAGATTGGCAAATCGACTAGTATCTTTTTCTTTTTCCTTACTCCTTGGTATCACATATTTTCTTAATGCACCGTGCAATTGCGGGAAGCTCCTACAAGAAGACATCGGGGGGTAGCTTTTCCAAGATGTTGTACTAGTTAATTCTTTTATCTAGAGCTATGGCTCTCCTTCGATCCCACAAAAAAAAAAAAAATTGGTTATTCTTTCTAGAGGACATAGCGTAAATATATATAAATAAAATGACATATGTTTATGTAAGATAGGTATATAGTTAGATGCTTATACAAACATGATGGATGAATGAGTTTTTTAAAATTGATTCATATAGAAATATAGTGATTTGATATAATTGAATATACTTTTCAACTATTCAAAAGAAGTTGTTATATATATTTATGTGTTCGTTTGGCAATTGCATTAGTGATGATTTAATCAAGATAAAAATTAGTTAATCAAGTGAATTGCTAGGTGAAATTATTACCTTAAGTTGTCATTCATTGATTAATAAGTTCTTTTTGAGTAAATTAGAGTAGAAATTCTCGGACACTTTTGGATTTTTAAATAATCTTAATCCAATATAATTTCAATACTTAGTAGATATAGTATAATTCTCTTAGAAATTGATTTTTGAAACTCATTATTTTATTAGTTATTGATCGCGTATATATACGAGGTGTGATTGAGTGTTTAAAATAACCAACAACGGTACACTTATATGCCTTTGCATTCATTCATCATTTTTATTATTATTATTATTTTGAAGTGTAGAGGCTTGAGTTATGGTTCAAGGCAAGCCGCCTTCAAGTAGTGATGGAAAGTTGCCATTACTAACTTGGGAGTTTTGAATATTGTTTCTATTCTTAGTGTTTAGTAGGTTGAGGTCATCGACATTGTTATTAGAATCATGCATGGTATCATCATTGTTGTAGGCGATTGAGCGAGTTACAAGACTAATTTTTTTTCTTTTTTTGTGGTCTTGGAAGAGGCCATTATTATTTTACAATTACTAACTCTAATTAAATCACCAAAATATGTGAAAGAGTTCTTGAGAACTATTCAAATGAATGAATGACAATTCAGTTAAGATATAGAAAGTTAGTGTCGTAAGTTGTAAAAGTAACAGATCAACCAACCAAATAAAATGGATGCAAGTAGTGAGAGACATAAGAGGAGGAGCGAGACAAGTGCTAAAAAGACACAAGTTGAGTGGCATATAGGTGGGTGGTCAAAATCCAAACATATGGAGATTTAGATGATTTTATTGTGTGAGTATGAAAGTTTTGAGGGAAAAAAGAGAGTTCATATTTTTTTTTACTAAAAATTAGAAAGTATAAAGTTTCATTTCCTTCGCAATGATATAAGATTGATATTCATAGTGAAATAAGAATGATTCTTGACCATTAGGATCGTGCCACATGATTTATGTTTGCACGGTCATATTGGAATTGAAGTAATTATGTTCTTTAAAGTTAAATTGCTTCAACTTGCTAGCAAAGACTATATAGTAAGTGACAATTAAGCCTTTTTTAACAAATTATGCTTCGAGTCCACTAAATTAATCTACCTAATACATCTTAAAGATAAGATACGAACACTATTCTTAGCAGAATATCCGAGTCCATCCTTGCTTAGTCCAAAGTTTTATGTGGGATAAGACTCATCTTCAATCCAATCTATTTGTTGTATAGCTTCGGACTTATCTCAAAAAAAAAAATTAATACATAATTAAATTAATTAAATTCTTAAAGATAAATCGAACTTATACATAAACAGTTTAAAGACAATAAGATCTTGGAAAAGCAAAAACGAAAAAACAAATAAATAGTGATTTCAAGCTAATGTTAGACAAACAATTTGAAATCAAATGTTAGCAAAGCTCTCAATTTCAGTCCCCATAACTTACCTTTTCAAAAGCATGTTAACCAAAGACTTTTCACCTCTAATCGGCATCCCTTCTCTCTCCCATGTGCTTAATTCAGGAAATTTACCCTCAATCCTTGGAATAAATAAAACAAACCGAGCTAGCTTCCTGCTAGCTAGACATGGTAATGGTTCGGCTCAAATCGTAAATCGAACCAAAAGCCGAACCGTTAAAAAATCGAACCGAAATCGTTAAAACCGTATCGTAACCAACTACTTAGGGGTTGGTTATGGTTTAAGGTATCATGGAACCAAAATTGATGATTCTAAACCGACGGTTAACCGTAGAATCGGCGGTTCCACATCTTTCCTAACAAATTTGGGTTTGGTCAAAAAAAAAATTTTAATAAAAAAACCAATTTTATATAAGTTGGACGAGTAGCTATTGGACTCGAAAAATGAAAAAAAAATTAAGCCTAATAATTTTTAATTTTTGGGCTTAATATATTAATATTTACATATAATATAATAATATAAATATGTGTGTGTGTGTGTGTGACAAATTGTCACAAATGTGATCGTTTGTCAAAACGGTCACATTTGTGATCTTTTTTTTTTTCTATAAATACACTCAATTTTTTCATTCTCCTCACAACACAATCTTTCATTCTCTCTTAATCTCTTAAACTCTTAAGTCTAAAATTCTCAATACCTGTCCTATAATATTTTTTATACTCCAAATACTTCTTAAATTTTTTACATTTCTATTATTTTATACTACAAAAAATGACAAGTTCAAGTTCACATATGTCATTACAACAAAGTAATAATGTCAATCAAAATCGAGCAAGGGAGTAACAACAACAATCAAATTTTACATCTAGATCATCCGACATCTTCAAAATTCATTTCTCAAAAGTTCTTTTAGAAAAAGGTGTTTTTACTCGTGATTTGCATCTACTACAATAAGCAATACACATTCAAACAAGGAGGTGATTATGGAACATTCAAAAGCCACTTGGAGAAAAAGCATCCATCTACACTTGGTAATGATAAACATCAGACACAAATATTCGGGTTTGCTTCTCAATCTTCCTCTTTATTTCAATATACCGATAAAAAAAATAAAGAAGAAATGGCTAAAATGATATGTATTGATCATTTATCGTTTAGTTTTTGTCAAAAAATGGGTTTTAGTGATTATTGTTCTAACGCTTTGAATCCTCGCTTTCAAACAAGTTGAAAGACATTCTTTAAAAAAAACAGTTATAAAATTGTATAGAGATAAAAAAAGAGAATTAACCGTATTATTTGTAAATTTGAATGGTCGTGTTTCTATATGTTCGATATATGGTTTGATCAATAGAAAACTCACTCCTTTATGGGTGTAACTTATCATTGGATTGATAATGAATGGCACATGCAAAAGCGTCTTCTTGCATATAGAGTTTTTGATGATAAACATACCGCTCAAAATATATATAAGATACCGAAAAGGATTTTAGATGAATATGTTTTACCTTTAAAAATATTTTCAATTTCTTTTGATAATGCTAGTTCTAATAATGCTTCAATAGACTCTTTAAAAGAACTTTGTCAACCCCATCTTGGAGGTAAGTTTTTTCATATTAGATGCATATGTCATGTTTTAAATTTATGTGTGCAATCTGGTTTAGAATATCTTAAAGATGTTGTTAGGCCAATTAAAGCTCTTGCTAAATATTTATGGGCGCATCCTCAAAAGATGAAATCATGGGGAAAGTTTTACAAAGAAACAAAAAACCAAGACGATTTTCACAAGATGTTCCAACTCATTGGAATTCAACTTATGACTTACTTAGGCGATTATTTGAATATCGAGATTTATTATGCTCATTTTTTTCGGAAAATATTGATTCTGTTTTTATTTGTCAAAATGATTTTGATATTTGTGAACCACTTTTGAAACTTTTAAGTGTTTTTAACAATACAACATACATTTTTAGTGTCGTTTATCAACCAACTTCACATTTATTTATGATTGAAGCAATTAATATTGTTGAAGCTTTTAATCATGTAGAACAAGGTATGCCAACTTTACATGATGTTGTTCAAATAATGAAACAAAAATAGTTAAGTTATTATGAAACAATTCTACCTATTTATCTTGTTGCTTTAGTTTTTTATCTTAGATTTAGAATGGAAGGTCTTTTTGCTCGTTTTGAATACTTACTATGAGTATTTGTAATTATTTGATAGAAATATAGAATTAGAAACCGCTTCTATTATAAATCGAGTTAAAAATTTATATATTGAAATGTCTTTAACTCGTGGGTGATCAACATACTAGTTCCTCTTTATCACTTATGCCACAATCATCATCAAGTAGCCAACGTGTTAGAGCTCGGTTATCTTATGGCCATGGAAAGGACAAAAAGGCCAAGAGTATCATCGGGCTCCACTTCCGAGCTTGATATTTATCTAACAACTATGTTTGAGTGTGGTGATAACAATGCAGTGTAGATTTTGAAGTAATTGATTAGTGGAAGAGACATATAGGCACCTTTCCAGTCATGTTCATAATAGCTAGACAAATACTTGTTGTGCCAACTTCAACAACGTACCATTGAAAGAGCATTTAGCTTCGGAGGTAATATTTTAGATGATAAGCGATCACAATTGGCTCCCGAGTCACTTGAAGCCCAAGTATGCGTGGATGATTGGATAAGAGCCGACAAGAGAACACAAGAACAAAAACAATATGATTTCAATGAAGAATGTGTGGATCTAACACTCGACGACACAACAACGTAAACTTCGAAAGCCGAAACTTTCGATCAAGAAAGCAACTAGGCGTAGCTACATAGAACATAGGTATAATTTGTAAAGAGGTAATTTGAAATGTAAAAGAGAACTACGCAAGCTTTGATTCCTCTAAACCCCAAGAGGATACGTAGAAAACTTAATTTTTGTAGTGTTTACAAAAATTAAGTTCAAGCCCTTCTTTATTTATTTCTTTTTTCTCTTTGATTTATTATGCGAAATACATTACAATGTAAAAAATATTATAATATTTATACATTATACAAAAAAGTTTTTTCGTTTCAATATTAATGTTTGATTTATACTTGAGAAAAAATATTCGATTTTTTTTTCATTTAATAAAAAAACCGTTGAACCGTCAGCTCCAAACAATTTAAAACCGTCAATTTTACATTTCCAAACCAAAACTATAACCATCCATAGAAAGTTTGATTCAAGTTCTACCTTTTGGTGGAACCTTAACTAGCGGTTCCTAAACCAAAACGAACGGTTCAGGAACCGTTACCATGTCTACTGCTAGCCAACGTTGTACAATGAAAGTTTCAAAAAACTATTCTCGCCTAAACCCCAAGTCAGAACCAACAGATAAATTGGGATATTCCATTTAAGACAGCATATAAACCTTCTCTGGCAGTCCCCAAAATGAGGAATTTCTTTCACATTGCTAAGATATTCTATTTAAGACAGCATGTAAACCTTCCCTTCCTGTCCCAAAATGAGGAGCCATTATAATTACATGCATGCACTGACAACAGAACAAGCACCCAAAGTAACAAGAAGCTTAAGCTGCATTAGCCAATAGCATCACCTGGTTACAAACTAAGATGTGCAAAAGCTAATAGTTCCTCCTACCATCAGAAATAGAATTACACCTAAATGTCCAAAAACTAAATCAAACAAACATTAAGATATCTAGAACATTAATCATAAATGCCCGGTGCATTTGACCCAAATGCAAATCTGCCTACAAGCAAGCCACAAAATGTCACTTTCAGCGTGGTGCAGCATACATCTGGGTTGAGTCATATTGAGGATAACCAGGCTGTGGAGACACAGTTTTCCCATAACCAACTGGTGCAGTTGCTGGAGCAGCTCCATAACCAGCCGATTGTGGGACAGACTGATCATAACTCGGCTGAGTTGGTGTTGGTTGAGCATAAGCCTGCTGGCTGGTTGGTGCACAATATGCAGGGCCAGTACTGTAAGCAGGATCTTGAGACCCTTGGTAGCCATAACCTGCATTGTTCGCAGCTTGCTGCTCAGGATAACCTTGTTGTGACGATGGATATCCCCCATAGCCCGCAGCAGTAACCTGTCCATAGCCAGTTGCTGCTTGTCCGCCAGGCTGTCCATAAGTTGGAACAGGCTGGGCACCTTGCTGAGGATAACCTGGGCCAGATGCAGGTGGTGCCTGATTATACCCATCGGATGCTGATCCAGACCCATAAGGAGGATATGCTTGCTGCATGGGTCCACTTGATGCATATGGATACTGCTGTTGTGGTGGTGCATTTTGACCATATGACTGACTTGATTGCATGGAAACTTGATAAGACATATCTCCTGGTTGACCAGGCCTCGGAGGGCCATATGATTGGGGAGGTGGTCCCTGTGATGGCATGCCATACGATGGCTGCTTGCCATATTGCTGCTGTGCCCCATAGCCTGCTTGATTGCTCGCCTGTGGATAAGCTGGCTGAGAACTTCCATGCCCATAAGGATACTTCGGTTCATCGTATCCATGCCCGTAGCTCTGGTGAGAAGGTGCTGCCTGGGAATAGGGAGCTTGATGCCCATAATCAGGGCCATGGGACTGTCCATAGTTGTAATTCACCTGAGATGGAGGTCCACCCATAACAGGGGCAGGGGAATGACGAGAAACATGCCCAGGAATGGGAGTAGACATTGGGGCAGAAACTGGATGATCAGATACATGACCTCCTTGGCCACTATAGTAATCATAGCTGCCACCGTGCATATTAGGGCCCTGCATGTTAGCATGAGGTCTTTGCTCCCAACCAGAACTGTAGTTACTTCTTGGAGCCATCTGTTGTGGAGGATAACCACCATAAGTTGGAGGATACTGCGAACCATGGGATGGATATGGACCCCGATGCTGATAATCATACGGCATTTGCTGGTTTGAATGATGACCACGTGGACCCCAGTGACCTGGACCAGTGGGTCCACGGGGTCGATAGGACTGCTGCTGGTTAAAGCTGCTAGAGAGAGTTGATGGCCTCACAGTCTATTCAAAGCAAATGACAAATAAGAAATTAGCAAACAGAACCAATTTCAATTGCATGAGAAAAAGAAACTAAAAATAAAGCAGAGACATTGGCAGAGCAAACCATGTTATTTATTCGAAGCAAAACACCAACAAAACAAAGTCAAAATTTACGCCAATATTAAAAGGCATGCAGCTTTGACAAAATAAAGAATAAACTATGTGAAATGTAATGGAATCAAACACAGAAGCAAAGATAATCATGCTTCAATTCTTTCTCTCTTCAAGTCAATTCAATTCATTTTGTACTTGATAACAACACAACAGCTAGTAACACAAACCAAGCAAAATGTTATCATAAAAAGAAAACAAGCCTATATAGATGTGAACAAATTTACAAAACATGTTGAATTTATATAATAAAAGGGCCAAATAGTGGAATAAAGTCCAAACTGGACAGAACAGCCCTATAAGAACCAAGAAACATTATAAGATGTCACATATATCAATTTTGCATGAGTTTCTGAATATGTATGTGCACAAGGATGATCCATTTAACATTTCTTTTCTACCACTTAAGGACATTTTCTACTCAAAAAATAAAATAAAATGAAAAATTTAATAGATAAATGAGCAGTCCATGGATCACATCCTTCCATACAGCTTCTTACCTTATCTTGAATTAAGTCAATTCAGATACCCGTTTACTTCAATTCCAAACACAATATTTGCTGAAACGAAAATTCATACATTCAAATATATTCTACTAAAGAAAAGACTGAGAATGACAAAATGGCCATGGTATCTTTGGAAGTTGAAGTGGATAGAGATTTATATGCTAGTACTTTGCAGCTGAAAATGAAACCCACAACTTAGATAAACAAAATCCGATTACAAAAATAAATGTATGCATAGTTGTGTAGAACTGCAAAAACAAGTGCAAAAATGCCATGTTTAAGATAACATTGTCTCAAGTTTTATTCTACATGGTCACGAAGTTCAAGACATGCACTGACATTAATATAAAGAGCAACAACTTCAGACATTTTCAGAACCAATGCATATCCTAAAATCCTAGAAATACACACTAATTGATCAAAGGTAACATCAATAGAGTAGCAAGATGAAAATACAGGGCATATTCCCAGTGATCTTTACTAACTAAATATGCTTTTGTAGCCACTCCAATGAAACTTACAGCAAATCACACAACATATATAATATTCCTCAAATGTTTCAGCACAGAAGCAGATGAAAATTCATAAGTGGCGTTCCAATAAAAGCTTCACATACAAGGACTTCACCAGGAATTATACTTTCTTCCAACATGTGTCTTATGCATAGAACATGGGGTACTAATGAGCACTAAGGTTATGTATCACTGAATTATTATTGTGTAACTTCGAAGTCTCAAAGCAATCTTACCAACTATTACCATCCCCTGCAATTGCGAAATTTAATGCCTGATACCTCTCTTCGGTTGATGAGAGTGAATAGTGGCTGTCTATTGCTACACCAAAAAAGCAATGCTGACCCCATGGGAAAGGCAAAAGCCAAATCTGCATTTTAAAGTCAACCAATTCGAAATCGGCACCTTGAACACAAATAAATCATGGCAACCGACATCTTGGATGGAATATAGATCTTCCTAAGAGCATTCAAGTGACTTTGGAACCGATCATTCATTAATACCACAAACTCTATTCTGTCATGTGATTAAAGCTCTAGCTCTCATAGAAAACTATATAACAGCTCTTCTTGACATGGATGAATGGTGACTCTTAACATACAAACAAAATAATCATGACTGCAATTGCATCTGGATTTGGCAAAAGGAAAACATGCAGATCCTCAGCTCTAATAATTGAGTTAAAAACAATTCACACACAACCAAATAAAAGATGAGCCGGAACAACCTGGAACTTCATTTCCTAAACAAAGGCTGTATATACATCTCCCTATATAAATAAACAGTCTGGTTTAACATTCATATTCTATATTTTTTTCTTGGACAGGATATTATCAAATGATGATTATTCACAACTGCAAGAAGTGTATTCAATATGTAGAAATTGAACCTTCATGCCACAAATCAGGGATTATGAAGCCTATGTACAGTAAAATAGGGCCACACAAACGAAGCAACTATTACCATATCAAATTGCCAAGTTACTAAGAAAAAATATATTAGACAATCAGACAGCAATGGATCAAAGAAAATATATTTAGACCCATTTGTTGATACCACTTCTACACAGCATGTTTCAAGATAGAACAAATCCTATTCGCATAAGATTAAAATACTACAACAAATTCACAGATCTAGCTCATAAGATCCTAGACATGCGTTAATGCCTCAAGGAACCAAAGAAAATAGTATTTGGTGCATGCAATAATACATATCCAATGTTCAACTGTCAAACAGGGTCTGATACAAAATTAGATACTGGTCAATCAAATGCTCTAAATTTCATGAAATCAATACAACAATTCAGAAGAAGGTACCAACATAACAATCCACCTGAAGCAACCACAATTACATAGAACTTGCAGCATACTCTACATAGAAGGAAAAAGTAGGGCAAATACAAACCTGATTCATGACATCCATTATCATTTCTCTGGCCATCTCAATTTGCCTTTTATCTCCAGTTACACGCACTGTTCTTTCTTTAGATCCATCCCCTTCTGGAAGATGCTGAGGTATCAACTGAAGTAAAACAAGGTTGTAAAGACCAGTCATATTGAAATCTTTTAGGGACGTTGTCAAGGTCATATCTTTATGAAAGTGGCAAAGCCAGCAATATAACTACCTGAATGCGAGCCCCTGATTTGGCTTGAAGACCTTTGATGGTTTCCCCACCCCGTCCTATGATTAGACCAACCTGGACACAAGCTTATATCAGCATAGTTGAGAAACACAACAAACAAATTCATCCACCAAAAATCATAAATTAACCTTCTCATTTGGAACTGGAATCTCCAGCTGATCTCCCACACCATCATTTTGTGCACTAGTAGCAAGGCCCATAGCTACGAGAGATGGTGAACCCCCAGCATCAGCCTACGACAGGATATCCAAAGTGAGTGAATGCAAGGAAAAAAAAAACATGAACTCATCCAAATAAATGGCAAGAGAATCACAAAACAGAAAAAGAAAACTAGTGAAGTAAGGAGAGTGGGCAACAAAGAAAGAAATTAAATTTCAGTACCTCTGCTATCACTGCATTGATGAGCTTCTCAGCCTTACTTATACTACTTAAAGTCCCTATTAATTCCACTGGCCTTGTTGTGGATTGTGGATCAGCTTCAGCATCCCTTGTGATTTGAATTTTTGCCCCAGAATTATACTGCAGGTAACGTATAGTATCTCCACCCTTGCCAATAAGAACCCCAACCTGCCACATTTATGTATGTGGTTTAAACCTTTGCTTCCAGAATAATCTTTGAGAGAGAACTCAACAACAATACATAAAGAGAAACAAAAATCAAACAACTATTTCCCCTACTGACCATGCTAAAAAACTGTTCAACAACATTGAACAGGATGACATCCAAGGGCCCAACTTATGCAGTCGGATCAAATGATATTCTACAATAATCATACCAATCTCTTGAGTTAGCAATAGCACTAATGAGCCAATTGAACTGTACCCAAACCCACTCATCTAGCTAAGTTTATTATATTTCAATCCTAAATAAGCCTAAAACTTGTATTGTTAATGGAGGATTTTGTTGAAATTCTAGTGATGCATTGAAGTTTGCCAACTCTGGATAACTGTAGGTTGTTCCCAACAGATTACCAATGATATTTCATCACAATTTCGTGCAGCATAAATAAATTTGTTCCGGGGTGAACAATATGAGAATCTTTTGTCACTTCTTACATTGGTCATTACCTTCTACATATAGATCAACATCTCCACATCTTTAAAAAAGATGACTGCTTATCATAAAAAAATCCATTTCCTTCCCTCACATATCATACCATCCCCAACATTTTACCTGAACAAGCTTCACCAAGTTTTGTTACACAATTACAAGAACAGGCATGGTAAACAAACCTTGTCATTCGGAACCTCCATTTTACGCGATGTTGTTTGATCCTCTGATAGATGTTCCTCGGCCTCCTCGGACAGCTTTCCAGCATCCTCTAAAGATGGTTTCTCAGCATCCTCTAAAGACGGTTTCTCAGCATCCTCATTCTTGGAATCATCAACAGTAGCTTGTTCAGTATTATTGGTCTCCTGATTATCTGCATTTGGTTCTTTACCAGTTGTTTCCGGTACCTCCTCAGATAGAGGCTCAACATTATTATCCTTCTCTTGCTCATTCTCAACATTCGGCTCTTCAGCTTCTTCCTTATCATGTTCACCTGACTTATCTCTTTTGAAACCATTTTCGCTAGCTGTAACCAACAAAAACAAGACTATTAGAACCCACCCACCTCCTAACATATCATTTTCAACAAAATAAGACAAATTTCCAATTTAAATAAAACCCAATACTGATAAAGATTACACCAAGAAAAATGCCCTGTAAAATTACCATGTCTTGATATAACGTTTCTTTTTGGAGAAAAAAAAATCACCTTATTGACACAAAAACCAAGAATAAAATAACGAATTTCCAAAAAAATATATATACATATAAAAATGAGTGAATAATTTCCAATTTATTAACAGAAAACAGAAACCCTAAAAATCAAAACTCCAATTACCTAACCCATCGGTTTTGCTTTCATCAATCCTTAGCCGCTTAGACTCAGGCGAACCACCATCCTCCACATCATCAGCGTTCTCATCCTCTTCAGGCTCCTGCTTGTCGGCTGGACTAGGCTCATCTTCTTCTAGAGTTTCCGGCTCTAAATCTTCCAGCTTTCTCTTGTGATCCGAAGCCACTGGAATCGCAGCCGGTGCCACAACCTCCTCCTCCGCCATTCTTTCAGTAGGCAGCACGAAGATTTGAAACTACCTTTGGCAAGAATTAAAATTAGAAATTGAGGAATTTTTTTCCTCAAAAAAATAGTTAGATTTAGAAAAATTGGAGCGATTGGGAAATCAATCAGTGGATGTTGTTGTTTATGAGGGAGTGGTTGGGAGATGCGGTAAGAGTGTGGTGAGGTTGTGTGTAGAGGATAGTTATCGTCAAGAGAGTGAAGAAAGGGTTTAAGGCTTTTTTTATACACACACACACCGGCAGAGAGAGAGCGAGAGAGAGATGGATGGGCAGATATTTTGTAAGAAAAGAAGAGAAAGATCCAATGTTTTTTAGGGTTTGGATGTTTTTGGGCTTAAATTTCTGTGGGTTGTGAGATTTTGTATTGGGCTTTAGGAGTAGTTAAGAAAGAAAAGGTTGTGCTTTGCCCATGGTTTTTGTGGGATATTAATCATATTATTATTATTATCATCATTATGAAGGGACTGGTTATTATGCCGAGTCAAAGGCTTCATTCCAGAAAACAAAAAATTAGTACAAGGATTTTGTGCATTGTTAGGAACTGTTTACAAAATCTTTTTTAATTTTTCCAAAATTAAGTTAAAAAATTGATTGTATATAAAAAAAAAAAAAAAAAGTAAATAAAATGTTCACGGGGCTAACAACACACAAGTCGGACAATCTTTTTAACATTTGTTGATTTTTTATTTTATTTAAATTTTTTTTCAAAAATTTAGGAAAAAATATTTGTAATATGCTTTTAGAATTAAATAAATATTTAAAATTATTCTATTCATATTTAAAAATTTAAACATAATATTAAAGTCTATCAAATTATTTAAAACAATTTATTTACATGGAATAGAAACTCACCATGTTTAATAAATTTTTGTTCCAAAATTCAAATATAAAATAAAATTTATTATATTTCATCAAAAAAATTCAAAGAAAAAATTAATTAAATGAGAAATTTTTATTAAAAAATGCAAATTAAAGCAACTATCACGTTATTTTTGTTAACGATATAAGGTAAGGATGTAAAAATTGAAATATTGTTGTACAAATTTAACTTTATCGAATTTCTATATATGTTATAATATTTTTAATTAGTATTCAATAAAGTAAATATCAACTTAAGATTCGTTCAACTCAATAGATAATAATTAAACTATATAATTATTATTGTTGTGCAAAATGGAAATAACATGCTCGTAACAATCTCATTTAGTTTGTTTTTACACTCATGTATTGATTTGGAGCTCATCAAATAAGAAATATCCAAAAGTCTTGATGTACAGAAACACATAAAAATAGGATTATTCTTCTAGGAATAACTAGGAATTTCTGGATTGTGATATGCTAAAAATGTAGTTCTCTCATGGTGCCTTAAGAAACTCTTTCTACTTAAGTTAGATATGAAAAGATCCAAAATTGAAATAAAAGCCACACAATGTTAATATTTTTTTAGGAAAGCGATTGAAAAACTCAACAAGGTTTTCTTTTTATTTACACAAGCTATTGTAGGGTTAATACATCACTTGTCCTTATATAATAAGTCAATATTTCCGACTAATTTTTAACAATTAATTTTTGTATTAATAAATATAGATGATTTGTGCCAAATGACAAAGATAATTTTATCAAACCACATTTCATGTGCAAATTACATGTTTAATTTTGCTTAATTTAGCAAGAAATTTTAACTAAAATGACATATTAGTAACGAGCTCAAAATATAAAGATAAATTAAAAGCTTTTTTTTAAGAACAAATTAAAAAATTTGCTTATTATATAAAAGACATGTGAGGGTCTTAACTCAACCTTTGTAATTGTAATATGGAGAAGGTACTAATTAAGTCAAAAGAAATTATTTTTTCCAAGAAATGAACAACTCATCTAGATTTTAAAGCTTATTATGCCTAATAGTTTCTTTGAAACTCTAGTATTCGTTATCAACCTGGAATTGCAAGCAAAAAATATAAAGAAAACACTAAACCCTACCTCATTTCGAACAACTAAAATAATATGCATCTTTAGTAATAATAGTACCTATAAAAACTCAAAGATGGATAGAATCGGGGTTACAAAAGTATGTTGAGAGTGAATTTGATAATGGCGGGTTCAATTGTTGCTATAATAGATTATTACCCCAAACAAAAGATGGCTTGAAAAAAGTATAGGCTTATGATCAAAACATAATGACAAATGGAGGTGGAGATTGAAAGTATAAATTAGAGTTCATAAGCAAAAAGAATGAGAGTACGGGGATGTTGAGATGGAAAGTGGAGGAATAAATTAGGGTTATTTTTTCACATAAAAATTTTTAGATCATTTTAGATGGAAAGAAATCTCAAAATTTAAAATTTTCATGGTTTCAAAATCTTATTAAAAACATAATAGAATCTTAAATTTCAATTGAACCAGTTTTGCTAAGTTATATGTTGTATGGTATGTCGTATAATTTTTTTCTTATTAAATAAGAATGGGAAAAATACATTGAAGGCCAATAGATCACGAGTTCATTGAATGAGATACGCATGACATAGTATCGAAAACAATGTGATTACCCATGGAATCACCGACAATAATTTTTTCCATCGGTGATTTCCAATGGAATCATTGATAAACTATTTCGTTAATAATCTATGACAAAATCTTTGATGAAATTATAGTGATTTTTTATGGAATCACTCGGTGAAATAATGCAATTGTTTTTTTAAAAAAATCACCTACATCGACAAATATTGACAAAATCACCGACCTTTTTTAATTTAATTATTAGTTACTCGTGTCATTTTCATCATCTTTAATCTAAAACCTTATTTGATTTTAAGAGAAATAAGCTCAATGTACCACATGAATCCAAGCCCACTGGCCCAAATTATTTACTACTCTATTTTATTTGGAGAAATTAAGGAAAGACTATCCATTTGGTAATGATAGCCTATCATTCTAATCATGTTAAATTTTGAATCATTGATCCTAAATATATTTTGTAGCAATACTTAGAGGATGACCTAAAAGCTCTTTTAGCTTGGACATCATGACCATGTGGTTAGATCCTAATACCTTTACCGAGTTCATTTGGTGGATTTCTTTTAATCATCCATCGTTGAAAGTCCCTCTTTGATAACTCATCTTTCTAAAAAATAATAAAAATTCTATTAACCGATCCATAGTTATGGGGGTATCCGGGATAACATGGGGAAAAAATTTATTTTTTAATGTGCATGCCATTCAATTCTTGAAATGTTGATCATGAATATGGAGGGTGCGGAATTTTCACCATTCTAACTTGCTAGAGGTTGGAAGATAACACCTACTATGACCAATTCAATATAATAGGTATGCGTACCACACCTAATCTCATGCCACTCTTTTGTGGCATTAAATCCAACTAAACGAGGCTTAACTCACATGACCAAAGAGGAAGAGAAACCTAACAAAGAAATTTTGATACAATTGTATAGACAACAAAACTTATGCATAAACTATAAAGATAATTCAATCAAAATACATATGCGAGCCTTAAACAACACTCAACACAACTCTATGACATTATATTAGAACATAATGAGGTAGAGAAAGGCTAAAACACATCATATGGAAGATATTTACTACATAGAGACATGAGAAAAAAAGACTAAAATGGAAAAGAAAGGTAAGCCGATTAAGTCAAAGAACAACACAATAAACAAATAAGGACCGGATATAGCCAAGAGGTAGTAATTAGAAAGAAGAAGAAAAAAAGGCTAAATAAAAGAAAAATAATTACCATGCATAATGAAAGATACCAAAACAAGTATAAAAAATCATATAGGACGAAAACAGAGAGGAAAGGGTAAAACAATGAAAAAAACTCCAAAGTCGAGTGGACACCAATCAAAAAATGACGACGAACAAAAGGTAGAACATGGACATAATATAAAATCCTCATAGCTAATATTTATAGATACTCCTTTAACTTTATTTTTTCGGACGGATATTCATACTCATTAAAAAGCACACAACACAACATATTTTAAAAAAACTACTAAGAACACGAAAGGGAAAAACAGGGAACACTCTATAGAGCCCGAGTTAAATAAAAAAAATAAAACACTCTACAAAACCTAAGTAGAATTAAAAAGAAGTCAAAGTCAAATAATAACACTTAAAGAACGAGAAAATGAAGAAAAACAAATCACCTCTAAATTTAGAAACAACAAACATAATTAGAACAACATATAGTAAAATACCCAAGATAATAACATAAGAAAAAGAAACAAATACAATCAATAAAATACTAAAAGAGAAAATAATGTAAAATATGGTAATTTTTCTTACATGTAAGATACTTTTGAGCGAGTATGTAACCCCTATGAAATTTTTACACATGTTAAAATGTTTCCAAACATGTTTATATGGAGTATAAGTAATAGTATAGATGGGTTCAAAAGAGTTTTTTTTTTTATCACGGTATGTTCGACGATTACGTCGGAAATAATGGGAAGAAACATTTTGGATAATTTAGGTAATTATCCTTTGAGATATTTCTAAGTGTTTGGGATGCATGATAATAATAAGAAATTTATTTTACAATTTTAGGAACATTGGGATTTTATTTGGGAAAATTTTCGAATCAATTAAAAGAAATTTGTGGAAATGTAGAGCTAGATTCCATCCGAAGTTTGCATAATTTATTTGAAGACCATAGAGTGATTTTTGGGTAAATATCAAAGAATAAAAGTTGTTCCTCTATATGTTTACTAGCTCTCTATAAAGTTTTCATAATTTATGAACCTATACATTCAGACTTATATCCATTATGGTGATGGTCATTTTGAAATGTACTCTGCTGGAATTTCGGGAAAAGAATTCCAAAAATCCCAAAATAAAAATTTCATAATTATATATATATAAACCAATTTAGAATGAGTTAGCTGGGACCAAGTTAGACACTTAGACTCACTTATTAATTACACTTGATGACTCTTCATTTCTTTTAAGCTAAACAAGCCAC